AGCAAAAGGCAAACAACAATCCATATGTTTCTATGAATTTGGGAATGACAAAATGGAAACATGTCTTTAAAAAAAAAAATATGTGCTCATGCCATGTTCGCAGCTAGAGACTGGGAGAGCACATGAAAGTCCAAAAATAAAACTTGACTAGAAGCAAAAGCAGAAGTTTTTCCTTCTGTCTAAACGAAGGGAAACATAAACAGTGAAGAATCAATAGCAAAATGTCAATTCTGTTTTAGCAAGAATTTTAACGGCATGCTATAAAAAAAAAAAAAACAAGAACAAAATTTATCCTATAGCAAATAGGGTATCTTATAATATCCTAAAATATATCCCCTAAAACCACCAAGAGTTCAGAAAAAAAGTGTTTTTCTGCACAGTAAAATCACTCATACATGAGATTTCTTAGGCACAAGCTTTAAACTGAGAGTCATTTAAAATGCTTTCTGGGTGAGAAGTTACTCTCACACTGGTTTTATATGAAAATATGAATTACTGTTAAGGGACAGCTGCGTGGTGCTCTGCCACCCCTGGAGCTCACTCCTCAGCAAAGAGAGCCAAAGGCATGGCTATTAGGCAAATTAGGAACTGTTTAAAGTACTGCTAACCTGGCTGAAAAAGGGCTTTTTTTGGGAAAAATATATTTGCAAAAATATATTCATTTTTATAGCAAACAGCAGGGTCATCATATATTCTTTGTAGAGGTGTTGTGCTATAGGAGCTGCTTATAAACCTCAGTAAATGAGGTAATGTGACAAACTTCACCTGAAACCAAACCATCTTTTGTCTCCCTGGATGACAACATTAAATAGGGCAAAAATGGCTACCTGGAGCAGGACTGCTCAAAGAGTAACCTTCTTTTTTCTTCTGCCGTTAAAACCCAAATTCAATTAGCTCCTCCATGCTCAAACAGAACTGCTGCTGCTGAAATTGTACTCCAGCAATAATTGCCATCCAAGAGTGATCTAATTATATACAAGTCTCAGTGGCTGCATTCCCACGTTGCTTCCTACAACCCGGATTCACTACAATGCAACTCATAAGTGAAAACCACATCATTTTCAGCCCTTCTCCCTCAAGGTTGCGTGACTTTATAAATGTGTACTGAGAATGGAGTTAGTCTATTAGTAAGCTTGCCATAAAAACCCAAGTTTCTACCTACTGTTAAATACAAAGGAGGAGAAAAGGCACTTCAGCTGCATGTAAAAAACCAGCTAATGGGCTGAGCTATACAAGGGAAAGAAAGTTCTTTTAATTAAGGTACTGGATTAGGATTCAAAGACCAGCTTTGCTTCTTGGCTCTGTCACCAGCTTCCTGTGTGACCCAGGGCAAGAAATTTCATCACTCCTCAGCTCGGGTTTTCATCTCTAAAATGGACAGTGACATTTCCCTCTCCTGGCCTTGCTGTATTTCTGTTGTAAGCATTTCCCCTGTGCTGGCATGTTGCCCTGGACAATAAGTATCCAATATTAATTGAAGCCTCCGTGCACTACTCTAATAAAAAGCTAAAATTGACTGGTCTCCCTTTCCCAGCATCCTGGTGGAGTTCTGTATCACCACCATTTGCCACTACTGCAAACAAATCTGAGTCCCTGAGCAAAGCCCTGCTTCAATCCCCACTTGGAAATGGAGAAGGAAGGAAAAGGCCATTGACTGGGGTATCCCAAACATTCAAAGAGTAACTTTGTCCAGCACAGAACATCCTGGCCAACTGGAATGGGCCATTCCCTGCTAACACAGTCACTGTGCACAAGTATCCTGTGCAGCAGAGAGGTTGCCAATGACTTGCTGCTCTTTTTTTCTCCTGTATTTTCTACTCTCACTGTAAAAGAAAAAAAAAAATCTGTGCAAGGGTTTTGCCAGGTCTGTAAATTTGAACAAGACCATCTGAGCTGACTCTTAAGAGTTCTTGCAAGTAATTACAAGGTAAAAATGAGAATACTTCACACCTACATTCTGACTGAAAACTTCTCAGCCCTGCTGGCTCCAGGCTTTTAATTGTCAAAAGAGTTCAAGGTTTGGAAAGTTATTGGCATATTCCTAACTAGCATTGTGTCACTATTTGGCACGATTTTTGCTGGGATACCTCCCAACTCTGTGACATAATCAGAGGGTTCTCTACATTACACCATATAGTCAGATGCTCATGTTAGTGTAATATGTTACCATGTTTAATACCATTTGCTATTACTTACACTTAATCAGCTCTGGAACCAGTTAAACCATATAGGAAAAGTAATTTCAGAGGCTTTCAACTGACAGTTTTCTACACAGAACTTGACCTAAAATTACGACCTGAAGTTCGTAAGATGCAGTCTACGCAGGCAATTGCTTCTAAACAAACATTCATAATTCTCCACAACCCTGTGGGAACTGAAAATCCATAGGAAAACAGAAAAAGGGAACTGAAAATTCATAGGAAAACAGAAAAAAAAGGCCATAAAGGTAACTCTGTAGAACTGTCTCAACTAGAAAAACTGTCAGAGTTTCCCCTTCTGGCCAGCCTTAATTTACTGCTTCAGCAATTTTATGCTCCACAATTACTGCAAAGCTCCAGCCACAGAGGAATGGCTGAGCACTCCAACCAACATCAACCCCCCTCTAGGTTAAAATCCCAATCTATTGAGAGATTCACACTAAACTCACCCCAAGGTGCACATTCCCATGCACATGTTTTCAAACAGACTCACAACTATACCCTTGAACTCATCAAATGAATTTTTTTGTTTTAATGGTGAAATTACTAAGTATGAAGGACTCCAAAACTCAGGTTGTGACTTGCAAAAATTATTTTTGGACTTCTAGTTTCATTTCTTACAGGACACAAGCAGGGTCCTCCGTGCCATCAACTGGGTACCCAGCACCCCAAAACTCTCATCACTTTTGAAAACCTCATTATTTACTTTCCTGCCTCTCTATAGGAAAGGACTAGACATTTAAATAAATGACATAATCCTTACTACCATTCCATTCATTCATGCAGGTCACTATAATTTACTGCCAGGAAAAATAAACTTCTGCAAAATATTCCTCAATGCAAGACATTCAAAAGGCTCAAAGCAGGAGAGGAGGTGAGAGGGCTTCTAACAAATATTTGCTCAAGTGACTGCATCATCCATGAACACATTTGCTAGGGGAAAAAAAAAAAAAAATGGGTGAAGAAATTTATGGTCAACATGAAACACGCCAGGCTGGGACAGGAAAACGAAGAGGGGGTAGAGAAGGGGAATTTTTAACCAGTTTCATCTCAGCAAGGAAAGGTTTTTAGAGCCTGGCAAGCCCCTGCAGGCAGCCTGAGCCCTGCAGGGTGAGGTGGCCAGCAGAGGACCACACCATGCAGAACTCAGCTCACTGCAACAACTGACACCCATCCCGGCAGCCGTTGCTGCTGCGCCCTCCATAAATTCTGTTTAAACAAGTGTTCAAACAAAAATGGCTTTGCCAGCTCACCTCAACCATGCCCAGAGCTCAGCCTGTGACCAAATACTGCCATGGCCATGGAAATCCTCACTGCTTTCAGTGCTGGCTGCCCAAACACAAGCACAGGTGAGCTGGGTGGTTCGTGGGCTCTGAAGGATGAGGGCTGATGGTGGGGCTGTGGTCTGATGGCATCCTCATCCCAAAGTCATCCTTCTCCTCCTCTGCTCCACAAAGACCAGCTCTCCTTGGCATTTTCACTAGGAATGTTTCTCTTTTGTACCACCCAAGAAGCTGGCACTTGTTTTCTCTTGGACTTGGGTGTTTATGCAGATTTAGGTGGTCTCAGACAGAAAAAAGACACTAAAGACCATCTAAAACAATGCACGAGTGATATATTTTTACTCATGTAAAACCAATCAAGAACTAGGGAAATTAACATTTTGTCACATTTAAGCCCTATAAGCCCTTACACTAAGATATAACACAGTAAAGATATTCCACAAAGAATCTATGGAGTTGGGCTGTCACCAGCCAAAATAGCACACAATAATCAAATTAATTTTTGCTTTCAGCAGTGATTGATCAAAAGTTCTATTCACTGAATTTGTAATGCTCAGATCACCTCACAAAGGTGGGAGAGAGCAAAGCCCATTCAAGACACACTTCAGAAACCATGGCTCAGATCCCTAAAGCTCCTATAAGAAAAGCCACACTGGTTATTTTGGACAGCAATGCCTTCAAAGTCAATAAAATTTCTCACACCCATCAAGGCTAATCAGCAAGACTAGAGGTGAACAGAAATTATTCCTGAGATTTCAAGCTCTAATTTAGCTAACCACTTAAATAAATATCTGTAAGCCTTATTAAAATCAACAGGATTTAGGTATTAATAAGGTAATATTATTAAGCCTGTGTTTAATATTCCTGCGTAATCACAGCTTTGCTGCTACTTAAAAGTTCATACAGCTGTTTAGAATTTGTCCTCAGGTAAAACACTTCTGAATTTTTATCCTCTGTGTTTTGGGGACTGCTCAGAGCCCACCCAACAGGCTCCAGTCAGATTTCACATTTTAGACTGCTGTGAATGCAAACTGCCTTTCCTGAAGCTCCAGATCTGCTCTAGCTGCAAAGTCAATATCTAGCTTTTCATTTAAAAAAAAAATCATTTCAGCTATAATACTATAATAACAGGACTCTAAAGGATTGCTTGACAGCTTTCATTGCAGTTATTAAAGTCTGTGTTAGTACAATTGTACAAGTAATAATTAAATTGTAATACTAATGATTAAAGTTGCATCAGCATGTATTATTTGGTCGTCATGGCAAACTTGTGGGTGGATATTGCACATGGATATTACACTTTTTGCCAAGGCAGGGGTAGATTAATCCTACAGGCACGAGTGAGACAGATGAATGTATAAAGTTATGCAGCAATTGGCTGTGTAGTGAAATCTTATCTTTGGAGCGCTGTGAAATCATCTCCAAAATAAACGCGGGACGCATCAGCTCAGTTCCAAATGGTTTCAGAGAGAAAGCCATTGGTGAAAAGCAGTGTCCTGCCCATGGGAGCTGCACTTACCAACCACGTCCAGGTGGTAGGTGTGGTTGATGGAGCCGTACTGGTTCTCCACTATGCACGTGTAGTTCCCTTTGTCCGACGGCACCACGCTCTCCATGATGAGGCTCCAGTGCTGGTTACGGACCTGGGGGATGCAAACAGACACGCTGGGATCTTCTCAAGCAGAGTTTTACCCTCTCCCCTTCCAAAGGAACTGTTCCCTGGATAATTATTCTTGTGTAATCCACAGCTGGAAGCCTCTTCTGTGCTTGTCTGACAGTTCTGGATGCTGAAATGATTTATGCTTGATCCAGGACAGCATGGCTGCAGTGTGAAAGCTTTCACACCCTCTGCTGTAAATCTACCTGGCCCCTGCTCCAAGCACTGCAGATGTCAGTGCACACTCAGTCCTCCCAGGCTGAGCAGGATGGCACCAATTAGCAGTGAGACAACTGGGCTTTACCTTTCAATCCACTCCAAAGTGAATGCATGCCCTCAGGGTATTCCCCATCTGTCTCCAAACAGCCACCTGGTAATAACTACCCATCAGCAAGACAGGATGGACATGATCTCCTAAACATTTAAGTCTTCAACCTTCCTAAAAGCTCAGTGACACATCTCACATTTTAGAGAAACTGAGGGGTGATGTTTGGGATTCCTCCCAAATACCTCCTGCTGCTCTGGGGTACTCCAAGAAAAAATGAATCCCAGAATCATGCTGCCTTCATGAAAACTGCCTGAAAAAAATCCTCATGGAAACAGAGCATAAGGAGCATTTATCTCACAGAATCCCTCTCAGACAGAATTTATTAAAGGTACTGATTCTGTTCCCATTTGAACTCCAAAGGAGCACTGGCTTTGGTCTCACAGAAAATAGGATCCAGCCCAGTATTGGAAGGATACAGAGCCATCCTTTACATACATTTATTCCCTGCATCAGAAGTTGGCTCCCAAAATGACCTTTTGCTGGCTATGGACTAATTCCTTGTTTTAGCATTACATTTTTGACAAAGTGCTCAGAAAGCTTAACATTCTCTGGAGCTGCAATGTACAATTCTTCAACTGCAAAGTACATATTTCAGCAAATGGAATAAAACACAATCTGCTACAGTCATTTTAATCAGCCAAATGGAAAGCAGTAATTCAGTGCTGTACACCAGAAAAATTTATGGACCATTCAGTGATGCTTCCAGTAACCATACATTCTTAAAACACCATTACAACTATAGCTATGAAATCCTGCATCGTGCCTGTATGTTTTGTAGGTCCTTATCCAGCAGAAAAAGCTACACAGGGCCACATCCCAGTGCCAAGAGCACTTGCTGGAGGTAAAAATGCCTTCAGCTCAAAGCTTGGAAGAGAAGTCTCTCTATAGGCAGCTCCTGGCTTTCCCAGTTTCCCCAGCTAGTAATTATCTCAATAGCTGGATATGTCTCTTATTGCTCAGTTGGACTAATAATTTTAGCTAATGACTGGCCATGTGGGCTCTGAAAAGCAAAGAAAGTGTGGGCAAGAGTCCAGCAGGAGAAGGTGCTAAGCTAATGTCAGAGAAATGTGTGACACAGCCTCAAAATCTCCTGCCCAAACTGAAGGCTTCTCTCCTCAGCCCCTTGTGTTGATGGTCAAACAATTACAGTGGTTTCATCAAAATGATATCTTGATTTTTCTCCACACTGTGAAGAGCTAAGGGATAAGTTTATAGAACTGGAAAGACTATCAGTGTTATTTTAATATCTCGTTGTTCTGCTAAGCAACTCTTAAAGTCAAAGTTTGGGTCAGGAAGAGCTGCTGCCATAAACCGTTGGTAAATAACAAATACTACAGGTAAATAACAAATACTACAGCTACATATTTTGAGTGTTTTACTTCTTTGTGATTTATTTTGAAGGACACTTGGTCAAAATGGCCTGAACTTCCTGCCATTACAAGTTAAAACACACTCCTCGGAATCAGAGCAAGAGTTTTTAACCAATCTGACTGTAAAACAGGAAGACCAGATCACAGTTCTACAAAAGTTAAAACAAATAAAAATTGCAAACAAGCTGCAGGTAATTAATTTGACAGGAAAACACAAGGAATTGTTTATGTTCAATAAGAAAACATAACTTACAGCCACAAGTGGATATACTGGATGGGAATATTAAAAAGTATTTGTGCAATTTCCCTTCTTGTAACTGCATGGACAGAGATAATATCTTTATAACAAAACAACAGCTTAAGCCACTTTGGGTTAAGCTAAACAACTTCTGCAGAGGTCCAAAGCAGTTATGACACATTGTCAGACAACTGGATTTATATCAGGGATCGGGATCCAACGAGATTGTTGGCTTGGTGCTTTGAGGCTACAAGTGCAGCATTGCAAAGCCCAGGAAAATCCCCCTTTGCTAGGGATGAGCAGCCTCTTGTCTCACTGAAGATTTCCAAATTCAACATTTCATTCTCAGACATGCAACAGTGCAGCCACATCCCTGCAACCACGCAGGTTGAAACACAGGCTTTGGTAATGTGGGGATTTTTAAGTGAAATGCCACATCCCTTAGTCCAGATGTTTTCCTGACTAGTTATGGACACTTCTAGCACTTTACTGGGGGGGAAATCTTCTCCATCAAAGTTTGGAGGGATAGTTAAAACCATCTCTCCAAAAGATTCATTTTTTAAACTGAATTATCAGCACCAAATGCATACAAACTGCACCCTTAAGTTATAGCTTGGAGGTGGGAAACAAACTGGAATCAAAATGCCAAGGAATATTGATCAGAGGACTGGGAAAGGACAAGGAATTTTTCATATAAACTTTTTGCTTTTGGAGTATCCCATAAAGGACAGTGGACAGTTCTGTTCAGTGTTAAAATGTGTGTCTTCACTGGAGAGATAATGTTATAAAAAGTTGTCAGCTAAAAATGGATCAATTTTAAACTCATTTCAAAGGAAAGAAGGATTAGAAATGAAAATACAACTCTCCACAAAAGCAGCACAGTTCAGACTGTGAGAGGTACTGCTCAGACAAGGAGAACAAGCACAGAACACCCCTGGCAAAAGCCACAGGCTTGTGCAGTTGTTCCTGTAATGATAAATGTTCTTACTCTGTATTTACCTGGCTGAATTTAAATGTGTTTAAGACAACTGCAGTGATGAAGCTTATCCAAATGCATAGGTGCAAACACACACGTGTTAATGCTTAAACAGTACCAGCTGATAGAAGTGCATTTGCTTTCTGGGTGGCGTACAGGAAAGAAAAGGCTCCTGTGGTCTCAGAGAGGATTTAGATTATCACCTCAAAGAAAATATAAAATGCCTCTAAAGGCACAAACAGGAGTTATCATCACTTCAAAAAATCAGAGTATAAAGTATTTAGATATTCAATAACTGATCCTGTTCTCTTTATTTTAAGGAGGTTGGGTATACCTTGAAAGATCACAAAAGGATCAATTTTGAAATTCACCACCCAGAATTAGTCAGAGTGCAGGAATTCCGCCCTGGAAGCTATCTTGGCCAGAGCATACACCCTCCTGCTGGCCTGCCCGAGTGCAAATTGACTCAAGACATTCCCCAGTCCCAGGGACAAAGTGCTACAGGCCACTATCTGATTCTGATAAAAACAACACACCATGGGATTTCTCAGCTCTTAGCAGGAAAGAGGTGGCTGAGGGATTACTGGGAAGCTTTACGTTTTCCTTCCCTTCCCTTTGTCCCTTAAGGCTTGAAGGGATGATTGTCTCTTCTGTCAGATATGGCCAGGTTTGGATCCAGCTATTCTATCCCAAATATTGTGAATATCTCCAGCAAAAATGCCTTGCAGAGAGCAACAAAGCATTTTTGATGGAGATATTCATAATATTTGGGATAGATTCAAGACAAGCTAATGTGCAAGATTTAGCATGAGCTGCTGTGACACCTGGTTAAACACAGACCAACTCTGATAGACTCAGTCCTTCCTGAGGACTCCTTCATTGAAAGTTCATTGGCATAGGGATGTCAAGAAAATACAATTCTCTCTCTTCTAGTATAATTTTGCATGAGCTCACAGTGATTTCACCCTGCCCCTCAAACAGGATGAGGACACAGCTCAAAAAATAAAGATCTGGAATCCCATTCACTGGGAACAAGCTTTCATCTTCAAAGATGATTATTCAAAATGACAGAATATAGAATAAACATGGATTTGGTTGATTTGACAATGGTTAAGTAAATCCTACAAGATAATTTAAAATGTAATGTCTTTATGAGCAACAAGAAAAGTCTGAAATCCTCAGTTGTGTGCCTTCTTTTTTTCCTTTGGAATTAAGAGATAGAAGAAGTTATGATTTAGAATTAGAGGTACAGACTTCACAGGTATCCAGCTAGCTTTAGGAACAGGCATCTGTGGTTCCTTCCCAAAGCACATACCTGGGAAACTGCATACATTTAATACATGTGATCAAAAGCTTAATATGTGCCCACTTAACTGGCACAACTCTAAATTATTTCACCCAGCTCCCTAACACAGACTAGCAGTGCCAGCCCCACACGAGCTGATTTACCCCACCAAAGATCCCCCACCCAAAGCAGACATCAGGTATCCCCATCCTGCCTCTCCAGACACACATTTTCCTTCATGGTCTTCAAGAGTGATATCTTCATTTCCCCTCCATCAGATGCAAAGTGTTCAAAATAACAGCCTGGTTACTACCAGAACAGTTACTATTATTTTCCAAGACAGGATTAGTTTGGTTGGGGATTTTTTTTTTCCTTAATTGGTGTTTTTTTTGTTTTTAAAAAAGCACTGAGAAGGGCAAAAATCACTGAATGGGAGCCAATTCGTTAACACTCCACAGCGTTATGAAAGGCAGAAGGTGTTGCCAGGTGTACACTCATAAGCAACAGAAATTTATGGTGTAAGCAAACATAGATGGAAAAGTCTACTTAGATAATTAGTGCTCATGCAGGGAGACTTTCTGGGCTCTGCTCTCTGCTAACACAAATGTTGGAAAAATTGACACTTTCTACAGTAAATCCAGCTAGAGAGGAAAGGAGACAGAGGTTTGTCCTCCTCTGCACTGGAAAACAGATTTTGTGCACTGGCAGGACCTGAACCAACAGCTCACAAAGCAATGGCTCAACCAAGGCAGCTCCCCAAAAACACTGCAACCATGGGGGCAAGGCAGTGGTGCAGGATGGGGGCAGCCTCAGGACTCAGAACTGAGCTCTGTCTAGCAAAGACAATTCATTTGTGTCTAACAACGACAATTCATTTGTGTCTAACAACCATTGCAAGCTGCTCGGAGCAGCTCAGCACAAGCTCCAGGATGGGGATTCCAACCCTGACACAAGGGAACTGCCTTAGAAACTTCTCCTCCTGGGGGAGGAACTGCTGAGGTGTCAGGGACATGAGGAAACTGCTGAGGGAAGACCCAGACAGGAGGTGAAGGGGAGTGAGAAATGGCCATGCTTGAGCAGCAATTTGCCACCAAAGTCACGCATTCCCGGTTCCTTGGAGGAGAGGGATCAGATGACCGAATCCTGACTTCTGACCTGACCCAGGCAGATACCACGAGGTTAAAGGTCTGTGCACTAACACACAGAGCAAGCTGGCCTCCCTAAAACTCTCTCTTAATCAGTAACCACCAACTCAGAATAAGACATCTAATCTGAAGCTATTTAAAATTCAAACAAACCCTTCCAAGTAATTGCTGTTACTTTCCCCTCAAATTCTTCTTCCCATTTCAGTTTCACAGGCCATAAACTCTATAGAAAATAATAACTTTTGACTTCCAAGGCTTCCTTTATTAAACTGCCTTACACTCACCAAAGCGGATGGCCATGTTTTTAACAATGCAGCCAAAAAATGAATAGAGAAAAACAGTCTTAATCTGCTTTGCTAAGTCAGTCTTTAGTTTTCCAAATGCGTCTCTATAAATAATCCTTAGCTGCACTGCTAGGCTAGAAGCTTAAATTTCAGAAAAAAATAAATAATTAGTGCTCAGTAAGCGCCAAAGAAACCACCCACCCTTCCCCAGAAGAAAACAACCACCTCTTTTTACTTCCACGTTTGATCCAAAGCCATTAAAATATTTTCTGTTAACTTCAGCAAGTTTTTGGTAGATTTTTGAGTTTTTTTGAGAGGGAGGAGGGCTGGATTTGGGTTGTTTGGTTGGGGTTTTTTTTTAAACAGCTTTGACCAAGAAGAGAAACCACAAAACGCCACGGTGAGCCCTTACCTTGTAGCCGCCAATGCGATGCTCCTGCTTGAACTCCTTCCCGTTCTTCAGCCAGCGCATGGTGGGCGTTGGGTTGCCCATGGCTGGGCAGCGGAACTTGACGGTGTTGGCGGCCGGCACGGCGTGGAGCCTCTTCTCCATCTTGTCCGTGTGTGTCCAGTAAGGCGCCCCTGTTCCAAAGGGACACATCCAGAAACATCAGCGCTGGGAACGGAGCTCCCCCTCCAGCCCCTCGCGCCGGCGCACAGAGCCGCAGGAACCCGCCTCCAGCACGGTTTGGAAAGGGCACAGAGTGGAGATCAGCTGCTGCAAGTGTCAGCCAGGGTTTTGCAAACGGCTCAGACTGCTGCTCTGGGTGTTCAACTTGTGACAAAATTCCAATAATTAACCACAGACAACTTTTGTTTTGCGTACATCAAGACAGAGGGACCGTGTTTTCATCAGACACTTTGGGCCTTGAGCTGAGTTACTGCAATGGTTCAAACTCAGAATTTTTGGCCCTCAGCTGTGAACCCAGACAGACCAAGACAGAAAATGGCTGGAAGCATCAGCCCTTTCCCCTTCTGAGAGAAGGGGATAAAAACACCCACCAGTCTGACAGCAGCTAAAGCCTGCTGTGTGTGATGCCAAGGTGAACTTGTGCATAGAAACCACAGAAATGTATTTACAAATGGAACATACTTCTGAAATCTTAACCCAAGCAGAGGAAACCAAACGAGTAAATGTGGATCACCAAAAGACATTTATCATTTTGGAGGGGTTTCCCACACTAATGAGCCTCCTGAAGTCCAAAGGGTCAGTGACATCCAAAACCATGGCATAAAGTGAGAGTGCCTCTCTCTCAACACACATTTTCTGAGGTGATCATTTTCCCAGACCCTGACATGGCTCTCTTGGCTCTCCCTCACCCCTTGCCATGTCCTGGCCTAGCCTGTGCCCACATGAACATCATGAGAAGCACATTTGTCATGTACCAGCAGAAACACAGCAGAACAAAATTTACAGCTGCCCATACGTTTTTACCCTCACAGAAGTAAACTTGGACGCACAGACCCAAAGACAAAGTTATCCCATGCTCTGGGTCCTTGCACAGCTTCATCTACATTTCTTAACGACTTCATGGCATTGCTTCAGTCATCTCACCATAACAGTTGTTTTTTTCTAAGTTAAAGATTCAAGATCTATTTAATAGTAGGAAACATTAATTTCTTTTACAATGGAGTTTTCCTGAAGCAAATCAGATTAGCGTGGAATTTTTAGGACTAGAGGGGTCCAGAAAAATAACTCCATTTCTCTCAGCCCTGTTTCATTTCCTTCATTAGCAGGCCAACACTCCACTATAAATAAATTCTTCCGTTCCTCAAATATTTATAGCAGTTCTTACAATCAGTGCAAACTCAGAAATCCTGCTACCCCCCCTCTCTAAATAAAAATACAGCTGGACAGAAAATACAGGAATAAATCCTTTAACAAAGTCTCTCTCAGTATAAAGAAAACATTCTAAAAGCAAGTCCTATAATGATGCTATGAACGATAAGTGTTTGGGTTTTTATTTTGCCCGAAGTGGCAATTAGTGTTAAAATTAATGAAGTAGAAAAGCAAAGCAAATTTATGCATGTAATCAAAATAGAAAATCAAGTAACTATTGAAAATTTAAACTGCAACACTAAGAAATTGTTACACAGACTAAAGTGAATTAGAGATGCAAGGAAAATCACTGTTAACATTATTTGCTAAAAGCAGGATCACATTAAAACAACAGAAGACTTTAAACAAAGCCAAGCAGAGGAATTAACTGCTACACGCAAGGGCCAAATTACATTACAAGTACACCAGGCAAAGGCAGAATTACATGCTGGTACTGAGGGATTAAAAAGCTGTTTTCCCTGGACTCCTCAAAAGTCTCCCACTGCTGGGCCCTACTTGCAGCTCCCAGAAAGTCAAAGCAAACCAAGACAGGGCAAAGACAATCAACCACCCAAACCAGTAGTATCAGCCCCCCAGCCAGAGCAGAGGGCTTGCTTAGCCCCAGGTGGGTACTGCCAAACCAGCAAGGGTCACTCCTCACCACATCCATCACACTAACCTCTCTCACAGTACGGGACACACAGAGCTCACATGCAGCCACTGAGCCACGAGCTCATCCACGGCAAAGCTGCCCTGCAGCCCATGGGATGGAAGGGCCAAGCTCTGGGAAGCTCCCACCAGGCTGCAGGCTGGGACCAGGGCACTGGAGTCAGTCAGGACTCCAACAGCAGCTCCCCAAATAAAACTGTTTCACACAGCCAGGTTTGTACTGTGATGGTCCAGCCCATCCTCTGGTTTTCTTGAAAATAACTATCCTTTCCATCAACAACCTGCTCCTGGAAATGCTCCAATACAACAAATGGACAGAGGGAAATCTCTGACAGAGATGGGTGCAAAAAGGAGGCCAGGCAGATGCAGGCTGGAATGAAGAGAAGCAGCTCCATTTTGTGGAACACCCCTAGAATGGGAGAAAGGTCTGTTTGGAAAGCTTCTCCCCACACAACCCTCAGCATAGCCTGCAATGCTCCTAAATTACAGGTCAGCTTGGAGAAAAACATGCAGACATCACATATGGAAAGCACCATCTGAAAATGCTTCAAGACATCCTACGTTTGGCAGCTCCTCAGCATGTTTAAGAGGAAAAGGCAGCAACATCACAAACCATCACACTTGCCCTCAAATTGTGCTTTCATTCAGTGATTGATCTGATTAACACACAGCATTCTTCTTTATAGATTAAATCATCATAACCCAAAACACCTTTATAGTGCTTCTATTTGTCTTGAGAGGAAAAACACTGAGCTTCACTAAAACTGATAATGAACAGTTAATGAGTACCAGGTGCTGACTGCTCTCACGGGCCACGTCCATCACATCCCATCACTGCCACCAGGACAGGTGATGTAGGTGGCACAATTGCTAAAAGTTCTGCTAAAAGTGACCACAGGGCAGACTCCAGCATGAGGCAGCAAGGAGCAGCAGGGGAACGGGTGGGAACTCCTGATTGCTCAGAGTTCTCATTAGTGAGGAAAATATCCTGCTGACCCACACTGCACACACATTACATCTAATCAGCCAAATCTCCTGCATGTGAAATTGAAATTAGGAAGCCCAGGGGACCACTTCACTTCAGGACTCTTCAGTTTTTATTTGGACTTCTCTAATACAAAGAAACACAAAAGTAGTCAACTCCAAGGCTGCCTGACAAGCTCCTCAAGCAGGCAATAGAGAGCCATAAGTGACCACATCAAACCCCTCCAAGGTTTGCAGTGCTATTGTATTTGACCTTTAATTAAAAAACACTTCTAGGCAACATCCAATTTTTGCTGCTCCCCTGAGTGGGTTTCCACTCTACAGGATTTGATGAATTTGAACCTTGTTTCATCCTTTCTGAAACTCTTCAAGGCATGAAAGGAACAGCATGTGGATTACATTTAGATACTTTTTGTTCTTGGTGCCAATTTACCATTGCTTGGCCCAGAAGAAATTGTTTAAAGGGCGATAAGAAAAAAAAAAAAGTCATAAAGCCTCCAGTTGCCTGACCAGAATTCAAGGCAGAGCAGCAGCATCTTCAGGGCTACCCAGAAGTCTACAGAATAAATTAGTTGGTGGGCTTGATTGCAACCACCACGACAGCTGCTGCCTTGCCAGTATCAGGTCAGGAGTACAGAAATCCCTCAAATTAGGGCTACCTCTCAAAATCACAAGGAAGACAAGGCAGTGAGTGCCAGCAATGTCTTTTCCACTGCTGCCAGAATGATGATCAGCACTTAGCTTGTAAAAGCAAGTCCTTGGAGATGACCCTCCAAGAACCAAGCTAAGGCCCATCTTTAGAGTAACAAAGGGGAAATCTCGAGTTGCCAACAAAGGCATTTTGTGGAGAAAGGGGACTGTTTTGCAGTGGAACCAATCCTGCACCTTCCCCAAGAGCACTAATCCCTTCAACAAAAGCTGGAAGTAATAAAAAGCCATTCAGGATGCAGTCTGGAACAAATCTACCACAGTGTTTTTTCAGACAGTTAAAGTATCTGTCAAGCTGAAGGGACAGCAAACGCAGAGTGAGATCTGCTCTGCGTGCCTCTCACTGAAAAATACACACAGGGCCAGTGGTCAAATGCACATGGGTACACCAGTGCCCTCCTCTCCCAAGGAGGAGCTGCTCCTCACATCTCCAGAGTCACCTACAGCCTCCACTGACTCCAAGAGCAATTGTATTTTCTGGGCAGCCTTGAAAATTGCACTAGATTTCCTCAAGAGCCTCTCCACCTGCATTCAGAAACCGTGGCCTCTGAAATATGTATCTGCAACAGAGGCAAAGAAAATGAAACAGCTTAAAAGAATACTTAGCAGTGTAAATAAAACAGCTCTAAAAGGTTTGTTTTAGTTTTAAGTATGCAGGAATGAGAATGCCAAGGTTCAGCTTCCTGTTGAAGGCACTACAGCCATTTCCTGCCTCATCTCATCATAATTAACATGCCAAGACAGCTGGACTTTATCAGAATTGTTTCATCAAAAAGCAACAACCTTTGAAGACTATGGCCTTTTGTTTCCATCAGAAAAGGCATAACCAGGCCAATTTCCATTGCTTATCCTTAATGATCACAGCTATAATTTGTATGTAAATTATCAGTTAAATCATTTGAGATCTGCAAAGCTCAAACCATGATTGAGGAAACACTTAAAAGGCTTCTGTAGAAGAGCAGCAGCCAGGGACCATTGTGAGGTCGTGGACTTTGCCAGGCTCAACATCCCAGAGGCAGGGAAGGTAAAGGGCATTTGGCCATTGTGTGCACTGCCTGCCCCACAGCACACCCAGCCCCTGGCTCACTCCTCCACCTGCCTTGTAACACAGTACCTTCAATCACATGTGGCCTCCTGGATGTGATATAGAAAACTTGGAAGAGGAAAAGAAGGCTTACAAGGCACACCACACCAAGTCCCACCCCTGACTTCCACACATGAATTGTCAAATCTCAACCCTCTTTCAGCAGCCCTGTATTAATCCAAGGGAGTTACTGTGATGCAGCTCTTCACTGAGCACAGAATGCACGGAGGGACACGGTGCCACGACCCTTCAGTCATCATCCTGCTCCCAGCTCAGAGCCTGGGAGGCTGTGCTGCTCCCCCAGCAGACAATGGGCATCTTTTAAAGAGCAATCCAACAAAGAGTTGTTTCTGGAACGTTCTGCTCAGGCCCAAATCCGTCTTTTGCAGTTTCCTCCCTTCCATCCCCACGGCTGCGCTTTCCCTGCCATCCGCGATGTTTGAACGTTCCTGCCTAAAAGGCATCTTTCACTGAGAGCAGGGAAAGTGTGCTGGCCCCTGCTGCAGCACACAGCCCTGTCCCAGCAGATGGACACTGTCAAGGGCCTTTCACCAGCTCCCCAATCAAGATTAATTAACAGTAGCTTAAAATGATAGCTCGTTTTACAAGAACGTCATTAGCGCAACTGCTGGGCACTGCTCCCTGTGGCTGGAAGGGCAGGAATCCTTCTGAGGCCATTACAGAGCTCAGCTGCCTTGAGAGCAGGTCCTTCATTTCTCCCAAAAGCCATTTATGCTCACAATGGATCACCAAAGCCATTACTGCAGATCAGAAGCACAATTGTCACCGAAAACGTCACAAGCCCTTTTCTGACCAATACCAGTAAAGCTTTAAGGAACAGCAAACATCAGAAGCATTTCCTAAAAGGAATTTCTAACCATGGGTCCATCTCAGGGCAGAGCTAACACTGCCTGATTGGTGGCTTTTGCCTAGACAACCTTTTTAAAAGCAGTGTCCCTTTTCCAAGCTCTCCAATTCTCTCTGCCACTGCATTCCTCTGTCAGGGCAGCCTCCAGCTGCCTGATCTCAGCCCTTTCCAGAGGCACCTGTGCATCAGCCCAGGGTTAATCACACTAACAGATGGCAGAGGCCAAACAGGCAGCTAGGAACTTATATCACTTTAAATAGCATCTAATGTTTCACAGCTCCAGGCCGGGGGCAGCCGCACACAAAAGGCACAAACCACTGGGGCAGCCCAAAAATCAGGCTGTGCTTTCTCACCTGGACTCTGCTCCAAGCTGCAGCTCCTGACCAGGCTGAGCAGCAAATACAGCCCCTGCCCACAGTGGGTGCTGCTCACTGACATCTCCCCCAAAGGATTTCTCCTCTCTCTCTGTTACTGAATTTACCAGGCACCAGTGACAGCAAACCACCAGTCACCGAGGGGGTTTTGCAGCACTGCACAGTGCATCAGGAGCCAATGTGAATTTTACATTTTTTTTTTCCTCTTAGAGAGTGCTCTATTTAGAGCTTATTAATAGCTTCATGAATTCTCTAAAGGGGATGGAGTTTAACACATTCAGTTAGGTCTAAGATTCTTTTAGCCCATTTTCATCACACATGAGTAACATAAAATGTGGGTTTAGCATTGAATCACCTTCTTTGCAACAAACCTTAAGGTCCTTTGCAGACAAAAGAACCTCATTGTCTCCAAATTCATCTTCCCTGGCGAGATTTCTGCTGAGATTAGGGATATAAGGATTTTCCTCATTACAGCTTAATTTTTTTTAAAGTTTTCATATCACCTTTTAACAAAATGAGCTGGATCTTTGTTTCTTCTGTTGAATTTCTGCTCAGATTCAGGAAAAGTTAGTTCATCTGTCAGAGTCTAAACCAGACAAAGACCAAACTTCGATTCAGAAAGAAAGGAAACTGCAGAAATGCCAGGAAGAAGGAAAAAAAAGAAAGTACAGACCAGAAAAGCACGTTCAAAAGAATATTAGTTTATTTTTATTTTTCTTTTCCAAGTTATGAGCTACGAGAAACAGAAAACAGAGGAGGACGAGATACAAAGATATTTGACAGTACACGCAGTCAACAATTAAGAAGCTCTGAAGACAGGAGTGCAAGAGATGGGACAAAATTTTCCACGTGGATCTTGCTAGTGACTTCTGGCAGTGACTTCTGTTACTTACTCATCTGGTTGCTGTCATTCACAAAGTCCTCGGACCCATCATTGTCGTCTTCATCATCCCCAGAGGAAAGAGCATCTGCACATTAAAAACAACCAAGTCTTTAAACCAGCCTATTTTTATTTTTTTTTACAGAAAAATAAATGGATAAGCTACATCTTAGACTGTATATTAAGAAGAACAAGTGTTTATGTTAGTTGTGCAGAAGCTAGAGAAAAGAAAATCCAGCCACAAAATATGCCATTTCCATGTAAAATTGTAACAAAACTAGTTAAAAGTCCTGAAGTGCTACAGAGTTTCCCAAGGGAGTTTGCTAATTGCAAAAATCTTTCTGCTTAATACTTTAACTTCTGTTACACAAATGCAGTTGAACAAAACTGAGCATCTCCAGAACAATTTATCTCTAAACTTGAAGGATGTAGAACACACATTTTCCTCTTCTGATAAAAACCTGTATTCATTCTACTGGCTTTATCATCATCATCACAGCAACTCTGTCTAATTTAATCCTGGTCAGAGTAGCATAAAACAGAGAACTCTACAGCAACTGTTAATCTCTGTAGAGCCTATGGAGCAAAAAGGAGCAGATAAAAACTGAGTCCATTTCAGGGTCAGGACAAGGAGAAAAATCCCCAAAAAATTTGGGGATACAATTTAAAATTTGGGTATAAAATTTACAGCTACAGAACTCAACTCACTGTGCCCTAGTGGGCCGTTTCATATTAGCTCATAAAGTGTCTTAACATCCCATCTTACAGCTTCTGCATGCAAAAACCTGTGTTTGACTCACTCACCTGTAACATTTACAATGAAGTACAGAGTATCACTGTCTAGGGTCCTAACAGCAGTGCAAGCATAGAGGCCCGAATCTCTGGCTGTGGCATCCTTAATTTGTAAGTACTCCCCAATAATCACTGTCCTATTGTCGGGCCCCAAAGGGAGCCCGTCCTTAGTCCAACTGATCATGACGGCGTCTCGCAATTGACAGCGCAACTCAAGCGTCTCTCCTGGAAGGGCTGAGTAAACATCTGGCTGAGAGATTTGGTATTTGGTTGGCGGCTCTGCGAAGGTGGAAGGAAAGGAGGAAAAAGTAGAAGAAAGAGAAGGGAAAGGAGAGAATTTCCAACACAGGTCAGTCAAGGCCCTTTTCATCCATGGAAATCAAGTTATGTTAAATTTAAAAAAAAAAAGTTTCATCCAGATTAGCCCAGTGTTCTGTGTTGTTAAACTGAACCACATGCAGGTTATTTTCACGAAGTTCACCAAAGTGAAGCTCAGGCACTTTTGATCAGTGTCTTGGCATGTCCCTTGTCCCCAGCACCACACCAACATATGACACTTCTCATCAGTCACAGAGAGCAGGGGACAATGGGGGTTGCAGAACCTGGAGGCTTTAAAGGACTTGTAGGAGAAGGAGGGGTCAAAAGGCAAATCCATTTCTGTCTTAGCATTTGGGTCCACAATTCCAATGAAGACTTTTCTTTCCCCACCTGATTTTATTTTAGGTTGCTTTTTAATTTTAATAACCTGAGAAGTGCTGTTTTGAAAGAAAAGGATGTCCAAAACCCCCTTCACCCACTAAGCTAACAACCATGAGTTCCTACACACAGTATACATGATGTCTCATTCTTCCCCTGTGCCCATCACAAAGTCTCTACATTTCCCTTCTGCACTACCAGCACTTCTCTCTCCATGGCAGTAACTTTTCCCTTCAAATTCTTTTTTGCTTCATTACTTATTTCACAACCTCTGCCCAGTGAATACAGCAGAAACCCAGGAGCACAAGCAAAGCTTTCAGAGTCGCAGTACGCGCAGAAGTTCCGAGCGCAGTGGCTCATCCGTCAGCTCCCTTTGGTAACAAGAAGAATGTCAAACCACAGTCTTTTTCCAAAAAAACATTCTTGGAAAACTACATCTGCCTATAGTTACTAGAGCTTCATCCCTGCCTTGCAGGGCCAGCTCTCAGCAGGGGGAAAGAAGCAGCAGCCCCGGGCACTGCAGACTGTCTCCACAGTGCAGTGGGAAGGCTCAGCACACCTACCACGAGCTCAGGCTGTCCCACAGACAGGCACTGCTTCTGCAACTGGTGTGTCCCCACCACCACACTATCCCTGTCCCAAGGGCCTCGCCAAGGGAGGCAGGAATGGTAAATAAAGAAGCACAGAGGCATCTTCTGTTTGCTCATGGGGAGGGTCAGAGCGCACAGACAGCTGCTCCCCGCGCACCCCGGACACGTCCTGCCCTGCACAGGCACAACCTGTGTGCCCAGGAATAAATAAAACACCTCTCTGTCTGCTTGGGACTCTCAGGGAGCACTGAATGGTGGCTCTTTGATGTCCACACTTCCTTCTAAGAATGCCAAAACCCTGAAACCAGTGTTCCTCCTCCTTGGGTTGTCATTTTTTGTATCACACTTTCAACAGGGCAGCCTGAAACAAGCACCACGTCTGAGCAGGGCTGGAGATGGGAGTTTGGAAATACTGAAGTTCTGTCAGTAGTTGAGTTTTCTGCAGTCCTGCAAGGAGCAGAGAGTTGGGCTTGATGGTCCCCATGAGTCCCTTCCAACTCAAAATATGATTCCATGAGCACCAGGAGGGTCCAGCATGGTGGAGGACTCATACATTTAGGTATCAAGTTCTACTGAAGGACTTTGAGACTCAGTTTTCCTCCCACTCATCCTGCAATCCTGTCATTACAGGAATGCACCCTATCAAAGGTTCTCCTGCCTTTTTCATTAGGGCAAACATGTTTTCCCAAAGAACAGATTTAACACACACACACATCAGGGTGGCACATGAAACCCATCCAAACACAAACAGTCACAGAGACTGTAAAGCTTCTTGGATTTAGATTTTATAATGAGGTCTCTAAACTTTCCAGTTCCATCTCAAGAGTCTAGGACAGGCTCCAATACAGATTTATACCTCTTATAAACTAATTCAGTCTTGCTGATATAATCACAAACCCACAAGTCTGCAATGCAGGTGTTTCACTGAGTGCTACATTATGCTCTTAGAAATAGAATTTCCAGAAGGAGCATGGGCTCCTTTCTACATATATTTCATCACAGTAATGAGTGTGTTAGAGTCTGCTTGAGAATTTTTTTTAATTAGTTTTACTGTCAAATAAAAAAGGTACCTGATGCCAGGTATATAATTTACTTTGAAGTTAGTAAGACTTCTTTGTAACGCTCTACCTGCAAAAAAATTTCTTTCACAGAGTTTACACTCTGCCAGCAATGTACTGGAGTCTAAAAGTGTCTGTTTAAACTTCTTTAAAAGCCACCTTGGGTGATGATACCTCAAACCTCCTTTAAATGCATTAAAGCCTTCTGCTGAACAGTGCCAGGAAACTCACAGGATAAGCCCACACACAATTAAAAGGAAATTAAAATGAAAATAATTTTTTAACATCACATCCCTGATTTCATCTATTTTTAAACTACTAACTCCAAATTTGCACTGAGTCTTTCAACACAAATCCAAATCCAAACTTAAGAATAGTAATTAATTTCAAAACTACAATTTAAAAAATTCCTTTTACAAAGAAAATCACTGGTACACTAAAGGAAAAACAAGTTTCAAACGGGTATTAGCATTTGGTATAAATTATCCTCCTCCATTTCTTTCTCTTTAGAGTATCAGGGAAGATGCAGCAAAGTGTTGTCATGATATAATGAAGTCATGTTTGGAAATTGTGAGTTATTTCAGGTAAGCCTTTGTGTTGCCAAACTAGAATGTAGCAGCACTTAAGACTGTCACTTTTTATAATGTTTGCCTATAAACTTTTTTCCAGTGTGGGTTTGAAATGGTGCCCAAAAGCAAACAGAGAACAGGTGGGATTCCGAGGCATGAATCCACCCAACAGCTTCACTGCGAAACTCAACCAGTTCAAACTGTTCACAAATTCCCAGCAGCACATAAACAACCTGTGCTGCAAAGTTAACTCTCCCTGGGACACTACACAAGGATTTTTTCGCTGCTCTGAAATTTAGGGACAAATTTTGAACTCATGTCCATGCTGTACCTTCAAACCAGCGGCTCCCCTGTGGCTGACAGCAGGGTTCTGTCCCTGCTCCACAGGCAAGGTTTGATAACCTGCTATCACATCCAGCTCCTCCAGCCCTCTTGGAAGCTCAGCCATCACCAGAGGCCTGTGACCCAGCCCTTTGCTGGGTTGGTCAGGTTAGATATGAAGAAGTTTCTACAATGAGGGAGGCACTGGCACAGGTTGCCCAGAGAGGTGGTGGGTGCTCCATCCATGGAAACATTTCAGGCCAGGCTGGACTGCTCTGGCTGAAGATGTCCCAGCTCATTGCAGGGAGCTCCAAACCATCTAAGGAGGCACAGGATTCCTTTCTAAGCAAATCCTGTAACTGTGGCATTGGTTCCTTCTGCAGAGGTGCACGACCTGACATGGATTACACCTCTCTGTCACCCCTTAGAACACCAAACAAGCAACAAAGGCACATGCAGAATGACTCTGGGTGTTCTTAAACACTGCAGGACAGGGGACACTGCTTCTGCTATTTTCTGCTCTCAACCACATCCTTATTGATAACAGTGGTGCACACAATGTATTTAAACTTTATAGGTGGAGCTGTTGAACAATACTGCCGTGGAAAACCAAGCTGCTGTTAAATAAACAGCTGTGAACTTTTTCTCTGCCTGCTCATACAGCCTCACAGCATGGTTTAAGCCATCCAGCCATCAAGTGGGGTAAAGACTGTTTGCATGAAAGCCGTGATCACAATAGAGGACTGGGGACACTCTGACTGCTCTATTTCAGATTATTAAGATATGCAATTGTATTCCAAATCACGTTCCCGTTCCAAATTTGGTCACCGAGAGGTTTATACTTCCTTAGGTTTTAAATTTATTATCATCATAATTATTAGTCTCCATTTACCAAAAAGTTAACAAAGAGCTGCTTATCTTAAGTCTCAAGTCATTTAGTTACTTAGTTACAGAGCCAAATAATGAAACGATCAGCTAATAGCTAACCCCAGCAAAGATTCTCACACAACTCTCCAGAACACAAAAGCCTCAGACCCCATCAAGCCACTTTCACTTCAAAAGGCTTTAGTAAATAACTAAACACTCACCACAGTGTGCCCAGAAGGGTCAACAGACCTGACCTGTCAAGAATCCAAGAGGTTCATTGCAAAACTGAATGTCCCTACAGAGAACACCAGGCTGCCAACCACCACCAGCACCACCACCGCTGCTTCTCCTGCCCCTCCTCATGGTTCTCCTGCCATTGAGGGAATTCCAGGAGACCACACTGGATGAACAACATGGAATGGGGACATCAAATAGGTCTCATGACTTTGGGCTCCCTGCAGGAGGCAGCCCAGGTATCACCAGTCAGGTGTGCAGCCTTCCCTCCCGCCTCCCAGGGACATGGTGATGGGACTCTCCCTCAATTTAAGCTGGCACACCAATATCAAGAGGATCTCCATGCCCTCTTCTGACAATGGATGATAAAATCAGCCTGCAAAAGACACAGCCATCAGTTTAAGAATGCAGAGAGTCATTCCTGGCCATGGTGACCACCTCCCATTAGCCAACAGCAAAACAAAGGCCCCTTAGACAAAGGGGCACAAAACAGTGTTTGCAATTCATCCATCAGCTGCTCCAAAGGCACTGCATTCCTGCTGTCCCATTTGTACTGCCACTATCAGCCAGCTGCCAGCTCTGCCCAGCTCTGCCTCTGCCAGGCACCATCAGGAAGTCTCTGTTCTGATAAAACACTTTCCTTTCCAAATTGCTACAGTTCCTCCCATAATTTTAAAACACTAACAATTCATTATTTTTTAAATCCCTTGTCCCTGAACAAGACTCCAAAGACCAAGAATCATTTCCTCCCACCCAATGTATAAAATCATTAGTTGCTCAAATCTGATTAAAAAGATCTGGGCCTGGTAGAAAAGCTTCAACACAAAACTTGAAAGAGCTACCCATGATAGTTACAAACATAAATATGTAGCAGATTCTACATCTTTACTTGTTCCTTCAACAGAAACTCCTGGGCTGCTCTATTTGACAGAGTTTCACAAAAC